ATGGCTTTTTGGCAAGTGTGTCATCAAATGGTTGGGCGGCAAATCGTCAATCCATCTTTCCCCCCCTTCGTCCCACCCATCCCCCTCAGCATTGTCCGCGCGCGGCGCAGGCACAACACTGGGCTCTGGAGATTCAAGAGACTCAAGCTGGGGAAGGTCCGAACCCCCCCCCGGCGTGGGAAGCGAAGGTAAACCATGATGGAGGCCACAATACGATGGGCTTGGAGATAGTCGCCCTCAGGACTCGCCAACCAGGGCAGGTCGGAGGGCGTCCAATGAAAACTAAACCCAAAGTTGGAAACAAGATGGCCGATAGACATTACCAAGGGGCACTCATCCAACAAATACAGGTTGTGCACCCGGTGGAACTCGGAAGACCAAACACCAACAGTGGAGGTGGCAGGTTGAGAGCCCCCCCCCGTTGAGAAACAGAGCGGATAGCTAGAGGTGCTAGAGGTCCCAATCCATTCCTCCAGCTGAGAGGCATCAACGCCTTGGCATTCCAAAGCTCTGCGACTCCCCAACCATTCCCCGGCTCCAGTGTCCCCGACAAAATCCAAGAACTGAGAGGTGGAAGGAGGAGGCACACTATAGGTGGCAGCAGCGGCTGCGACCGACGCGGCCAAAAGCGCAACCAATCCTGGTTTGGGAGGAGTAATTTTGGGTTTGGAGTCGGCTTTGGCAGGGGCCGCTGTAGGGTTGCTGGAAGCATGCTTAAAAGGACACTTTTCACGGTAACATTTGCCCTGAGAGAAGTAGATGCAAGGCATCTCTGCCTTTTGGGCTGCGGTCAACTCCGAAGGTTTAGATGTGGTCTTGTTTTTGTCATCCTGATGCTTGCCCTTGGGTTGATCACCACCTTTGGGCTTCCCACCTCCTTTTGGCGAACCTTTACCGTCTTTGCCCAATTTACCTTTACCCTTTCCATCCTGATCCCCTTTTGCCCCTTTACCCGGCTTTGCAAGCATTGCGTTGGCATCCTCCTTCTTGACCTTACCTGGGCCTCGCCTAAGGGCTTCCTGGATGGACAGAGCATTAGCTTCTTGCTGGCTTTCTTGGAGGCAAGTTTCTAGCCTGCCCCACAACCAAGCAAATGTACGGGCTTCAGAGTCGGCAGGCGCATCCCGAACTTTGTCAACATGTCGGCGCATGAGGGGATGTCGCTTTAAACGGTCATATAGCCATTTGGCTAGCAACCTGGGTTCTGGTTGGTCTTGTGGACCGATTTGGTTCATCACGTTCATCACGTAACGTACACGATCCCTCCATTGCCTCAGCGCTGCGCCATTTTCTTGAGGTGGTGGGAGGTTGTACAGCTCTAAGGCAGTCAAAATGGCGCCTGCATTTCGGTCTGTGTCGTATTCACACGCTATCATGTTAAGCGTGGCTCTACCTCTGACATCGTCTCCCGAAAGTTCGCAAGACTCCAAGTAGGAATTGAAACGAACACCAAAGGTCGATCGCAAATGTTCGGGTTTGCAAAGGGCTGCAGCTAAGACTCTATCAAACCGTGGAAATGATCCAGAGGAATGCCTCAACTGGTCCTTTTTTCTGCCTGTGACCTAGCTTTCAGTGCCTCAGCGACCCCTTTCATGAGGAGTCCTTCTGACGACCTGTCATAGCTCATTATCAGGGTCCTTACCGAACTTCCACTGCCGGAATGCTCCAGATGGAACCTTAAAATGGTGAAGATCTTTCAGTCGAACCGACTTTTCTTCAGTGTCACCACGCATGTCCAAACCGTGTCCAGAAAATGATCCACGCAAGTCACAGTCCGAGTCCTCTTCACACAAGTCAAAATTCTTCACATCCCTTTTGGGGGATTCAACATGAAGGGAAGGTTCCCTAGGAGTTGCCCAAGTGTCCCCTTGTTCCCACCAACAATCTTGCCTAAACGCAGAAAACTCAGCATGAAGGTCCTGGAGCCTATTCCTATCTTCCAACATGTTGGTCGCCATCTGATCCACCCTTGCAATCAACAGTGAGTTCTGTCTTTCTGTCTGTTCCAATCTTGGCAAAAAATTGGTGGTGAAGGTACTTCTCAAGCTGTTTAGTCCATCCTCGATTGAACGGATTCGCGCGTCAATAATGGATTGCAAAGTTCCCGTGCCATTTTGCTCGCCAATTGCACTCGTGAGGCTGTTTCTCAAGGTTTCTATTTCAAGTACCCTTTCTTGCAACTGTTGTTCAAGAATGCGGGGCCTTTCATTGGCAGTCTTTAAGGCAGCTTCCCTACTCAAGAGTTCCCCCTGTAATGAGGTTAGCTGGGCTTGCGATGCAATGCCAAATTCCATTGCCTGAGATCTGGCTTCTACAACAGCATGAGCGGCTTGCTCTTTGACCTCCATTGCCAGCGACCTGGCTTCGACGACCGCCTGAGCAGCTTGCTCTCTTACTGTTGTCACTTCCCGCGCAGCCCCAGCCACAATAGCTGGATCCGGTCCGGCGCTGTCAAATGAACTTGCCGCTGATCCTCATACACGAACTGCTGAAACACCCCCTGACCTCTGTCGCTAGGGCTCCGGCCATCAAACGCGTTAAGGCCGGAACGTTGGTCATCACACTCTGCAACGCTCGTCAACAGAAATCATCCCTTGATCACCCGTACGTGGTTGTTGACCCGTTCTAGTCATCATTTCTCTCCAGGAAGTTCGTCCCTTTGGGAGTCCCGCGCTTTGCGCTGGCGATCCTTTTGGTCTAGCTTTTTGGCTTTGCCTATTCTTCTTTACCCTAGACCCAGAGGATGAAGAGTTCCTACTTCTCTCCAAAGATGACTCTTGGCTCTGAACGACCGGTAACCCACCAACAGATGAACTCAGGGAAAATTCAGGGCTTGAGGAGTCCATGAAAGCCTTACTAAAAAGGTCAAGTTTCAGGGAATGCCGAAAGTTGCCCTCCACGACGGCTGGTCCTCTACGGGAACAAAGCCAGACTTCACAACGTGATTCGAGAACTCCCTGAAAGAGCGACAGTGGTACAACTCTCTAGCTCTCGGCCGGTTCTCCGCTAAAAAGTACACTTGTGTGCCAGGGGATGCTTCTGCAGTTTGCCAGCAAGTGGTGTACTTGTCGTCCACAAACGCAGCTGCCCGTGACGACTGGACGACGAAGGCTTTGTCTTCTGGCCGGTCGCAAATCGACAAACCAACTTGCTTGGTGCACCCTCGTTCCTCCAAGAAGCGGTTGAGATCCCTGACCGCTCGGGTCACTTGACCCCTCAACTGAGTGGATCTCGCCCCTACGTACGAAAGCACTCCAACTTGGTGGTGTGGTTCCTGAAGGATTCTCAGAACGGCCGTTTGGTTCTCCTGTACTATTGTGCCTTCAGTTTCTTCTCTCCGACCACGATGCCGTCTGAAGTATTCCAATGTGTCCAGAACACCGTGCGGGTTTCCGACGGCGCTCGAAAAGATCTAGCAGGATTTAACGTATCACCAGATTGCCGTCTAGGTCTCAAAGCAACACACGGGTCGATGGCCTCTGTCAAGCTCACCGGAGTTTGTGAAGCTGGTGCAGTCGCGCCGTCTTCTTCCCTTTGTACTTCGGCAGTGCTTGTGTGGCCCACTTGAGAAGACTTGGGGGAAGATGCTTGGGCAGACCGCTGTGACCCGTAGTTCGGGGTGTTTGGGAAGTGCCTCTTAGGAGTGTATTCTCCTGAGTTGACTTTGTCTCTCAACTCTCTCTGCTTTCTTGTTTTTGCACCGCCCCTTTCGCCACGGTGGTGTTTAACTTCTCGCTCTCCTGCCTCCGCTATGGTGACAACTCCAGCACTTGCGTTAGACACACAAAGTCCCTCTAACGCCACCACAGGAATGCCAAGGCTCTTAACCTAGCAAACTAGGAGCGCAACCTTGTTTCTTCACGAGTACTTGAGCCAAAGTGTTTTTGGTTCCAGTATGCATTTCAATTCAATATCTTCTGGAAGAGGTCTCCGCAACATGACATTCCAACCTACTTCTGCAGAAAGACTGGGCGGTGCTAGAAGCAGCGGCTAGCAACGTGCTGCTAGCTTTATGAAGAAAGTTGGCGCAAAGCACGGACAGGTCCATTCCAACCCATCAACCAAATTGTTTCTGATGCAAAAATAGTGTTGGTTCGTGAACTGAAAAACAAATCAGCACCGTTTCGTGCTTCGACAGCTTTGAATCGTTCTGACAGCTAAACTCGTAGGTGAGTGTATGTGTCTGTGTGTGTGAAACCCATGGTTTCAGTGGGGGCTTTTGGCTTGCTTTTATCTTGGCTCGCTTTGATCGGTTTTCAATCAGGAGGCATGCGGCCACTACGCAAACGCATGCCAACGAAGTTAACCATAATGGTGGATACTGGACTTGATCACTCTGGCATACCTGCCCTTGCAGAATTGTGTGATGTTTCGTAAGCATCCACTTCTAGTCTTGGAGGCAGTTTCAGGTTTGAAGAGGTCCTGCAGTAAATTGCTAACACACTTCGAACTTTGAACTTTGACTCGACTTCTGACCGTGATATCTTTTTTTGCACTACTTAGGCGTTGTTTAAACACCGAGGTTTCTTCTGGACCTGTGGCATTCAGACCGTACGTACTTTTTCCAGTGTGTGCGACAAGTGGAGTTGCGAAAGGACAGCTCCAGGCTTTCATCGCTAGTAGGTTGGAGGCCATCGCTAGTAGGTTGGACCATTCCTATTAGGTTCCTTTTGCAACTTCAGGTGCGCTTTCTGGCAGGTGCGGCGCAGGCATGGGCGAAAGCATACACGGGTGCACCCATCACGTGCGGCGGGCACTGGATAGGGAACGCATTGACTCTTTCACACCAATTACTAAACGTCCTTCAAATATTGTTGAAGCAAAACATGTCAGTTTTGTTTATAATGTATTGGATATCAGGATCTATCTATCGATCTATCTATCCATCTATCTATCTCTGTCTATACGTACCATACATACATTATATCATATATGCATATATTTATATATGTTATATATATGATACAGAAATATGTCGTTTGAATTGGTCTTCTTTTTTTGGCTAAAGTGAAACCTCAGACGATCTTTTTTAATTCTTCAGCCACGTACCTCTCACAGCAGCATACAAATGGGTAGGTTGGAGGCCATCGCTAGTAGGAGCAAGGACGCTACTAGGGGCTCCTGGCCTTACTACTAGGAGCATGCAGCTACTAGTAACAAAGGGCATCGCTACTAGGAGCAAGGCCGCTATTAGGTTGGAGGCTATCACTATTGTTTTTTTAACATGTAATTACTGCATACCCCTTTGTTTGGTCCATTGCGGCGCACCCTGACGCATCATCTTGGCCAGATGGGTCGATCTTAGCAGCCAATTTCTGCCTTGGGACTGCCAAGTCTGGTGAAGTCAAACCAGATGTCCTTTCATCACCCTCTTGCAACATCACACTTGACACCAAAAGGATTCCTCTTCTAAAACACTCAGGTTTTGCACCATGGCGTGAAAGCGCGCTCTGTGCAAAGTGCTGCATGAATTGAGACTGGGGCTTGTCTGGAGTCAAAGACCGCAACATCCAAGCACAGCTAGGGTTCAGGTTGAAGTCTGAAATGAGCGCCTGGCGCCGATGCTCCCATGCGTGGCCGATGCTTGCCACGTGCACCGATGGGTTCCACAATTCCACGCCCCAGCAGCCCTTGTGGACCCACAAAACAGAAGCCGTGTCTAGCAGCTTCAAGGAAACGCGACGAAAGAAGAAAGGCTCGAAACCACGATCCTTGAATGAATTGAAACATATTGCAACTAAACAGCCTGGAAGTATCAGAGTCAGCGCAAATTGGGTCTCGCTTTCCATTCGTGACGGGTGGAGGCCATCGCTCTTTGGGAGGCCATGTCAGCATTACACAGACAAGAAGCTATTAGAAACAAGTGCCACGCTGAGGCCTGGAAGGACGAGAGAAAGACAAAGGCGCCGTCCGATAAAGGTCAACTCTGTGAGCTCTCCGCTACTACTAGCGCGGCACTTGTTCCTAGTAGCTTCTTGTTACTAGTAAGGCACCTGTTACTACTAGCGTGGCACTTGTTACTACTAGCTTAAGCAATCAAAGTGTCCGGAGCATATCGGAACTGGTATGAATAGGCACTCTCTCGTTGCCTCCTTTGCGGATCTGGCCCTCTTCTGGAGAGGGGAAAGAAGACAGGAACTCAAATGACAAGGCATGACACCTGAACATAGAAGTACATGGATTGTCGAAGGCAAAAGGTTAATTTAATGAACCTAGATGCGATGGCCTCCAACCTAATAGCGATGGCCTCCACATAGAAGTGCATGGATTACCGAAGGCTTGAACTGTTTGTAGTCCCGATTATCGAACCTGACCTGTGAGATGCTTGCTGTGCGGGAAGCTACAGTCCACGCCGCAAAAAGGACAGACAAGGAGCGCACGACAAAACATGAAAGCCAGAGATGAAACAATGGTGTTTGGCTTGTGGAATAACGAGAACCTTTTGTCGATGTACGGGATTAGTCACAAAAGACGGGTGTAAGAATGTTCTCTACTAGGAGCTCCTGGCCTTACTACTAGGAACAAGAAGCTACTAGGAGCTCTTTCGCGCGGGGGGGGGGGTAGAGGACGCTACTAGTAACAAGGGCATTACTACTAGCCGACCAAGCCGATGCTCTCAAGACAGACATGTAGCCTCGATCGCATTCTTTGCCGACTGCTTGATGGGCCGAAGCCTTGCAGAATGGCAGAGAGGCATTCAAAGCATTTCAACTACAAGCAAATCAAGCATTCTTGTCAAATCGCTAGTAGCAGCAAGGACGCTACTAGGGGCTCCTGGCCTTACTACTAGGAGCAAGAAGCTACTAGTAACAAAGGGCAGCGCTACTAGGAGCAAGGACGCTATTAGGTTGGAGGCCATCGCCATCAGGTTGGAGATTGGCATAGAAAGCTATTTAGACACGGCTTCGATACAAGAGTGATCGCTACTCTGCAGCTGACTGAGGCTTTGGCCCACCATCTCCGGGACCTCAGAAATGCAGAAGGAACAAGAAGCTACTAGGAACAAGGGCATCGCTACTACTAGCAAGAAGCTACTAGTAGCTCCTGGCCCCACTACTATAGTAGCAAGAAGCTACTAGGAACAAAGGGGTTCCCCTCAGAAATCTTCCTGCCTCGCAGCTGACCATGACGATCCGCCTCGACGGCCTAAAAAAAACGGAATTCTTAAGCTACTAGTAACAAGGACGCTATTCTACTAACTAGAAGCAAGGACGCTACTACGGGCTCCTAGGAGCCCGCTCCCCTCCCTTCTGCGCCTGCTTCATGCGGCTTAGCAACATGGAAGTTGGACTCCTAGCCGCAATTTGAACGTTGGAGGCCATCGCTTTTAGGTTCCTTAAAGTCCTTTTGAACGCAATCAGTAGACCTGGCACGGCAAAAGCCCAGACCTGGCATCCAATGGCCCTCGCCGCATGACCTCCTGCTGTAAATGGGGTGGCATCGCTCGAAATCGATCCGCCACCTTGCGCGCAGATATGATTTCGCGCGCTCGACGACCTCCGTTTTCCACATCTTTGATACAAAGTCTCACAGGCTTATCTCAAAATGCTACTAGTAACTTCTTGTTACTAGTAGTAAGGCCAGGAGCCCCTAGTAGTGTCCTTGCTCCTAGTAGTAGGGCCGGAGCCCCTAGCAGCTTCTTGTTCCTTTTTGTCCAGGAAAGTTCAGAGAAACTTCCTGGTTGCACAACGTTGGAAACCTGCAATTGGTCGATCTATATATAATAGTACGGAAGCCTGTGGTTGGCACCAGTTTCACTTAACAAGTGCTGAGTAGAAAAGTATGAGATGCCACAACAAGTGCTCAAGGACTGAAATTGATCCCCTTTGCCGGCTTTCACAATGTGTCCATGTTGATTCCTATTCATAGTCCATCTGGGTTGCTTGGACAACCCCAAAGGTGCAAGCTTGGACTTTCTAGGCTGCAGATCGTTTGCAGAGTTTCGGGACACACCCGATCACCGAGTTCCTTTTTCCGCGCCAAAATAGCATCTTGCATTCCAGTAATTGGAAGCCAGGGCTGAATTGAATTTCGGAAGCCAAAGCCCACTTGTGAGCAGAATAGTCGCAAGAAACAGAAGGAACAGAGTCTAAAAGTTGGCTGGGCTGTACTTCACTGTGGGCTTTCACGGGCTTTCTACTTTTCAGGCTGCTCAAGTCCTTGCGGCCTGCAGAGTAACACGAGCACTTCAAAATGATTCTAACATGTAAGCCATGCCCTTTGTTCCTAGTAGCGTCCTTGCTCCTAGTAGTAAGGCCAGAGCTACTACTAGCGGTCCTTGCTCCTAGTAGCGATGCCAGGAGCCCCTAGTAGCGTCCTTGCTCCTAGTATGCTGCACTGAATGTCTGGGAGCCCCACAGCCATCAGTCAATGTCTTCAAATTTCTCAAGTGCAGAGGGTTCGACACCTGCAGTGCAACGGACAGCAACCCTCTCTTGAGAAACCTAGCTGCCATTGCTGAGGCTAAGCTCATTGAACGTCATTGAACGAAGTTGTCAAAACCGTCGATTGGGGCAGCGGCAAGGCTTGCAAACCCTTTTGTTCGACCTGCAAAATAAAGTTGTTGCAGAAGAAAGCAAGTGTTTCTTGGCTGGTTCAATTGTTCTATGTCTATGTGAGCATGTTCATTTGGTCAAATAACGTGCCCAGCGTCGTGAGAGAGTAGAGCTGTGTAGCTATCAGAAAGAGAGAGGGGCGAGGCACGGGGCGTCAATGGGTTCCAGCACTTGTGTGAGTGTGAAGCTAGCTCGCTGCGAAAGTCATTTCAATTCAAGGAGCTAAGAGGGTGGAGAATGTGTCAATCGTTTCCAGCAAAGGAACACAGCGATGCCAGGAGCCCCTAGTAGCATCCTTGCTCCTAGTAGTAAGGCCAGGAGCCCCTAGTAGATTTGACTCTAGGCCCTTGAAAACCTTCAACCTGAATTGCTTGCATACGCGGAACTAGTACTGTAATATAAAAACCAAAGTATGCCGTCTTTCCACGCGTTGGGCACAGAGCCTCGCATGTCAACTTCCAAAATGAAAGCTGCGAAATTAGCCGAAAAAGAAGCAAGGGTCTCTTTAATCAGACCCTTCTAAAAAGCCCTTTTAGATCTTCAAGCGTAGTGGCATGGCGGGCTTTGAATGAGCTGTGCGGATACGCCAGTATCTTTATGAATGCGTTGCCTGTGGTGTCTCTCCATCGCTAGGACTTAGGATCCTTTACTGTCTCAGTCATAGGTGGTTCCACTCAACACTTTGCGTTTGGTCCCTAATAGCAATGGCCTCCAACCTACTAGCGATGGCCTCCAACCTAGAAGAGATGGCCTCCAACCTAATAGTGAATATGGAAATAAGAAGAACAAATGTCCCTAATAGCTTGTTTGGTCAAACTTCCCGATCTCTGTTGTCCGCAACCCGCTATGGGCACAAACCTCCCTGCAGCCGTTGCACGCTGAACCAAAATGCATGTGCATGCTGCCAAACCTACTTGACACAGGAAGTCGAGCGCGCGGATTGTCCAACAAAAACTTCTATGAAGGCACGGGCCTATGAGACTACTAGTAACAAGTGCCTTACTGGTAGTAACAATAAGAATTTATTTAGAATTAAGTTAAAATTAAATTAATAGCTTCTTGTTACTACTAGTAAGGCACCTGTTTCTACTAGCTTATTGTTACTACTAGTAAGGCACGGGCCTATGAGACTTATTGTTTCTAATAGCAAACATTGTTACTACTAGTAAGGCACCTGTTACTACTAGTAAGGCACTTGTTCCTAGTAGCTTCCAAAAAGGTACACCACCAAATACGCTGACCGACCGTGTAGTTTTGTGCAGCCTCGTGACTTCAATGGCATGGGCACAAGTTCATGTGACAGCTATGTGCCACCGGCGTGCAGTCAAAAGAATGTCACGGAAATAGAAACTGTTAGCTTCCCACCTACTAGCAATGGCCTCCAACCTAGTAGCGATGGCCTCCAACCTGCTCATTTCCACCTTTTGCAAGAAAGTTTCTGCGATCTCCTTCTCAGCGCGCGACCACATGACCGTCTCTAGCTCTTTTGCTTCCTCCTGCGCATTTCACACGAAAGCTTTTTGCCGAGGATTGCCAGCGGACTGAAGGTCTTTAGAATGCATGGTCAAAAATATGTGCATGTTTGGAGCATGTTGGCTCAACAAAATACTTCACCTTGCCACACAACAATTGAAAGAGTCCAGCCTCTCCCTGAAAATGAAACAGCGTGTGGAAGTAGCACATACAAAGGAAGAAAGAGGAACGCAAGCATCAGCTCCACAAGCTTGTACGACCAACATCTGAACGGCCAGAACTCCATTGAATATGAAAACAGCCAAAACTTGAACGTGAAATTGCCGCCACGGTTTGGTCATGATCATTGGAATGCATCGCAGCACACTGGGCAAAAAGGGCGGCAAAAATCATACGCTATTAGGTTGGAGGCCATCCCTAGTAGGTTGGAGGCCATTGCTATCAGGATTTTACATGATGCAAATTTGATGGTAAACCAGCGAAGATGTCATATCACATCATTCGGAGTGTCCTTCTGCGCTTAAGAGAGCTCTTAGGTTGGAGGTCATCGCTCTTAGGTTGGAGACTATCGCTGTGGACGTTGCCTTCTTCTTTGATCAAGCTCAAACAGATTGGACTAACCTCCAGCCTAACGTCCAGGTTCTTGGGATATATCTTCGAGGTCACCAACTGACTACATTACTTGGGCCTTCCTCCCTCTTCATGCGCAAGACACACTTTCCGAAGGACCCACACTCTGTCTAGCGAGCTACTCGCACCTGCCCATGCATCGAATCTTCTCCAAATGCGCCATTGTCAATCTTCTACGCCCATGCTCGACAAAAAATTACAAAGGATATGGAGGCCATCGCTACTAGGGTGGACACCATCGCTAGTGGGTTGGAGGCCATCGCTAGTAGGGTGGAGGCCATCGCTCTTGGGTTGGAGGCCTAGGTTGGGATAGCAAAGGATATCCTTTTAGAAAACAAACAACCTCAGCGACGCACTCTGCCACAGAACGCCAGGCTGCAGGTGTACTATGGACCATAATATGGCAAATGGACTTCCTCCAAAAGGCCCGTCAAACGTCTACCTGCCACAGCCTTGGAGCTGAGAGGCGGGTGATCCGGCGGGTGATCCACAACGTGAAACATCTATCTTGCATTCTTTGTTCCTAGTAGCGTCCTTGCTCCTAGTAGCGATGCCAGGAGCCCCTAGTAGCGTCCTTGCTTATGCCCAGCATTTGAAGACATACAAAGGATGTCTTTCTGTTGCAGCTTCTTGCCTCCAGCTTTTGGTGCAAAGGTCAGAGTACCTGCCTCTGACACCACGGCCATCCGCGGCCCCTACTTCCACACGTCTTCTCGTCCAATTCTTCTGCCGTCTTGTCTTTCGCTTGTCATGGCTCGCAGAGCTAGTAACTAGTAGTCTTTCAATCTCGGTATGCCTGGGGCCAGCAGCTGGTTACGCTCACTTTGTGACATGTGAGGTTCTCTTGCTGGCTACAGCCTCATTCTCTGAAGAGTGTTGCAGTTCATCGACCCTTCCAATCCCCACACAGCTTTGAGAGAGCGGAAAAAGGCAGCTCGTGTTACATGAGCCATGAGCCAGACGAGCTTTTGTGGGGATGAGCCTGTGTGAACGTGAGCTCATGTGAAGGTGTCCACTCTTCACGCTGGGAAGAGAAGGAGGCGGACGAAGAATGAGTGATGTTTGCCAAACATAAGCCTTTCAGCAAGAATGCAGGACTCTCCTCAGGAGCATCTGCAAGATGCCTCGGCAAGCTTCGTTCAAACATGTGTTCTTTCCCACTACTAGGAACAAGAACGCTACTAGGAACAAAGGGCATCGCTACTAGGAGCAAGGACGCTACTAGGGGCTCCTGGCCTTACTACTATTAACAAGAAGCTACTAGGAACAACTTCTTCGAAAGCTCTTGGGAAGAGGCTTTGCTACGGCTAATGGATCGCCCCAGGCCGCAAAGAGGGACAGATCTGGCCTAACAAAATCTAACAAAATGCACAAATGAAACTGGCAAATGAGCAAATGTGATGTCTTCCAAACCTGTTCTCTGGCTAATAAAGCGCAAAATCTAAGCTTGTTGCTCTCCAAGAAGCTGCCGGAGGGCACTGCCATTTGCATCCTCCTCACTGGGCGCTGTTGGACTCTTGCGTGGAGTTACGACAAAGCGTAGCATGCCAATGGGATTTAAAGTGTGATGTGATGATAAAGCTATGAAGCTTCAACTAGCCTTCATGTGCAAATAATGAATTTCGGCTGTTTGCACTTCAGTGGAAATGTTCGGGAACAAAACTCCATGGCGGTCCTTGGTCAAAGCATGCATCTGCGCTGTCATACCAGAGTACCTCACCAAGCCAAATCATTCAAGAAAGATTTGAACTAATTCTAAGTTTTTCTTCTAGGTTGGAGGCCATCCCTCTTAGGTTGGAGGCCA